ACATGTGAGATAATGTTACTTATTCCTCCATATCTTCTTTTAGTAGATTTTATTCATTTTTCTATCTGTACTGTAGTCTAAGTTATCTCATACAGCTTCCATTTTTTCCTACTTTTCAACTGTATGTACTGTGCTCTTTAGCCAGTCAAATGAGTTTTTTGTTTAAACAATTTATCAATTGTATAATCTCCATTTTTCTTTAAAAATCTGAATTATTCATCTTACTATGATTCCATAATTTTGTTTTTAAACAATGTATACATACATGTTTTATGTTCTGTATTTTAATATCTCCAGCTCTTGAGGGTCTAAATTTGTTATTTGTTTATATTTGTGAGTCTTAAGTGATTTGCCTTCTACATTGCATGCTGATTTTTGGTTCTGGGAAACATTAATACAGCTTCCTTTATGACTACTCTGTGACAATTAATTCAAGACTTAAAAAAGGAAAAATTTTATTCTTTTTACCAGTGGCTAGAGTATTCATCCTCACGATATAATCTAAGACTTGTCAACCTTTCTTTCCTGCTGCCCCGTTTTAGAATATTCATTATATTCTCCCTCAGGACTACTGAGTCTTTTTTCTAATTTCTATTCTTTGGAGATACCTAGTTTAAGTTCTTTTTAGTGAGTATTTTGATGTTCACTTCCAATTTTTTAAATAACCTAGATTGTCTTGTCCACTCTTGATTGTTCATTTTAGAGCATTATTTTTTGACTTCTTACTTAGGAAATGAAGATCGTCATCTTTCACCTCTCTAGACACCATCACATATTCTTACATGCCTATCCTCCCAGTATCCTTTTGTGGTGGAATACATTCTTTATTTTTAGCTTCATAGTACTTTAGGTGTCTTTTGTACATATGTAATATTTGTTATGAAAAATTTGCTTGTATTACATTGGATTCATGTGATAGGAAGCAATTCATAGTAATTCTGTCTGTTCATTTTTGTGTATAGATTTTAGAAAAATCTCTTAACCTTAAAGATTGAATTATACATTCTTGAATTTAACTTTTTAAATTGTTATTTAAATTGTGTTGACTTCATTGCTTTAAAATTAAAAAGTCATAAACAATTTTCATGTTTGGGGGCGATTTGATTCTCACCTTAGCATTTTTGGAATATGTTGAGTTGTTACAAGAATGCAGTGCAAATTAAATCTTGCTCTGTCCCTTGTAATGCTGTACTTTTTTCAGGATGTGACAGTGGTAGTCTCTGCTATAATAGAGTTTCTAGAATTACTTGAAAGTTGCATATAATTTTGGGAAAATCCTATTTATTTCTCTTAAAGTCATACAGGATTTTAAACCCTTTTTTCCCTGTATACTTGTGGTATTTGAAAAATAGAAGAGTTTAGGATCTTAGGAGATATTTGCAATAAAAATATGTATACTAAATGGTATTTTCTAACTAACTTCAGTAATGAATTCGCTTTGACAGTCATTTTATATTTAGATTCTCTCAGTCTTTCCTTCCTGACATGGAGTTGAGTGAAACATTACTCAGCAGCATATGCTTAGTATAGGGGAGGGGGCCATTTTTATGTTGTCTTCCTGTGCCACCTATAGATCTGTATGATTTTGAGCTGCTGGAAGAAGTATCATTACAAGGTGGAACAGGAGGGTAAATGGGAAAATTTGGTTATTTGAAAATTCAGACTAAACTTTGAATAAAGTTTCTCTTAAGCACTACTTCTGTGTGGTTCACTTTTCGTAAGGTCCAATATTAATACTAGTTGTACTGGTTTAAAGAAGCTACCATAAAATAGAATAATGGGCTTTTTTTGGTTACCATGACAACCTGTCTACCATTTATTCTGACATTATTTTTAGTCCCTAACATGTGGCAGGTACTTTTTCCAGATGCTGGAGATATAGCTGCTAAACACTGAAGAATATAGTGGAGTTCATAATATTTGTATTGAAAAATCTATGTAGAAATGCAAAAGCTTATTTGTATATATATGGCCCAAACATAAATTAAGAATGGTGAGTTCCCATTTAATTGAGTTTCATGTGAGCTACTTTTTTATCAGAGAGGATGAAATTGCAGCTTTTGATACATAAACGTTGTGCTTTTTCTCAGAATGTTAACCTCTTTATCACATAAGAAGTTCTCATTGTGTTTAAAAACATTAAAAGCTACAAGTTATAGTGATTTAATTAAATATTATAATAATAATTTCACATGAGTTAGTTTTATGTTATAAATAAAAATGTGATAATCCATTGTCAAGGTCTATATAAATATTGCTCTTTGCCTAAAATATAAGCTTATTGTTTCTTAAAGATAATATAAAGTGGAGAGATCTTCCATGCTCATGGATTGGTAGAATCAACATAGTAAAAATGTCTATACTCCCAAAAGTAACCTATGTGTTTAATGCAATTCCCATCAAAATCCCAATGACATTCATTAAAGAGATTGAAAAATATACCATTAAATTTATATGGAAACACAAGAGGCCACGAATAGCCAAGGCAAAAGAACAATGCTGGAGGTATCACGATACCCGACTTCAAACTATATTACAAAGCAATAACAATAAAAACAGCATGGTACTGGCACAAAAACAGACATGAAGACCAGTAGAACAGAATAGAGGACCCAAATATGATTCCACCCAGCTATGCCCATCTTATTTTTGATAAAGGCACCAAAAATATACAATGGAGAAAAGACAGCTCTTCAACAAATGATGCTGGGAAAAGTGGTTATCCGTCTGCAAAAAACTAAAATTAGACCCATGTTTATCACCCTGTGCTAGTAGTTTTTTAGGTATCTTACCTATCCTCATATCTCCCTTGTGTGCACTCGCTTTTATCATGTGCTCAAAGTTCAATCCCCTTGTTGTGTTTGCCCTTGATCTAATGTCTGCGTATGAGGGAGAACATAACGATTTTTGGTCTTTTGGGCCAGGCTAACCTCACTCAGAATGATGTTCTCCAATTCCATCTGTTTACCAGTGAATGATAACATTTCGTTCTTCTTCATGGCTGCATAAAATTCCATTGTGTATAGATACCACATTTTCTTGATCCATTCGTCAGTAGTGGGCATCTTGGCTGTTTCCATAACTTGGCTATTGTGAATAGTGCCGCAATAAACATGGGTGTGCAGGTGCCTCTGGAGTAACCTGTGTCATAGTCTTTTGGGTATATCCCCAAGAGTGGTATTGCTGGATCAAATGGTAGATCAATGTTTAGCTTTTTAAGTAGCCTCCAAATTTTTTTCCAGAGTGAGTGGTTGTACTAGTTTACATTCCCACCAGCAGTGTAAGAGGGTTCCTTTTTCCCCCGCATCCTCCCAACACCTGTTTTGGTGGTGTTGCTAATGATGGCTATTCTAACAGGTGTGAGGTGGAATCTTAGTGTGGTTTTAATTTGCATTTCCTTTATTGCTAGAGATGGTGAGCATTTTTTCATGTGTTTTTTGGCCATTTGAATTTCTTCTTTTGAGAAAGTTCTGTTTAGTTCACTTGCCCATTTCTTTATTGGTTCATTAGTCTTGGGAGAATTTAGTTTTTTAAGTTCCCTATATATTCTGGTTATCAGTCCTTTGTCTGATGTGTAGCTGGCAAATATTTTCTCCCACTCTGTGGGTGTTCTCTTCAGTTTAGAGACCATTTCTTTTGATGAGCAGAAGCTTTTTTTTTTAATGAAGTCCCATTTATCTATGCTATCTCTTAGTTGCTGTGCTGCTGGGGTTCCATTGAGAAAGTTCTTACCTATACCTACTAACTCCAGAGTATTTCCTACTCTTTCCTGTATCAACTTTAGAGTTTGTGGTCTGATATTAAGATCCTTGATCCATTTTGAGTTAATATTGGTATAGGGTGATAAACATGGATCTAGTTTCAGTTTTTTGCAGACTCTAACCAGTTTTTCCAGCAGTTCTTGTTGAAGAGGCTGCTTTTTCTCCATCGTATATTTTTAGCGCCTTTGTCAAAGACAAGTTGGTTATAGTTTTGTGGCTTCATATCTGGGTCCTCTATTCTGTTCTACTGGTCTTCATGTCTGTTTTTGTGCCAGTACCATGCTGTTTTTATTGTTACTGCTTTGTAAAATAGTTTGAAGTCGGGTATCGTGATACCTCCAGCATTGTTCTTTTCCTTGGCTATTCGTGGCCTCTTGTGTTTCCATATAAATTTAACGCTATATTTTTCAGTGTCTTTAATGAATGTCACTGGGATTTTGATGGGAATTGCATTAAACACGTAGGTTACTTTTGGGAGTATAGACATTTTTACTATGTTGATTCCACCAATCCATGAGCGTGGGAGACCTCTCCACTTTCTATAGTCTTCCTCTATCTCTTTCTTCAGAAATTTATAGTTTTCCTTGTAGAGGTCGTTCACATCCTTTGTTAGGTTTACACATAGGTATTTAATTACTTTTTGAGGCTATTGTAAATGGAATTGTTTTCATATATTCTTTCTCAGTTTGTTCATTATTAGTGTATAAGAACTGCTAAATGATTTTTTCTATGTTGATTTTATATCCTGCTACCTTGCTGTACCGCTATTGATGGTATCTCGGAGCTTCCTGAGTAGAGTTTTTTGGCGTCTTTAAGGTATAGATCATTCTCATTCTGCAAATAGGGTATTTTGACAGTTTCTTTACCTATTTGTAACTCTTTTATTCCTTCTTCTTGCCTTATTGCTCTGGCTATGAATTCCAGTACTGTGTTGAATAGGAGTGGAGATAGTAGGCATCCTTGTCTAGTTCCTGATTTTAGAGGGAATGGCTTTCAGTTTTTTTCTCCATTAAGTTAAATGCTGGGCTGTAGGTTTGTCATATATAGCTTTTATAACGTTGAGTATTGCTTTGTATTCCTAGTTTTCTTAGAGCTTTTATCATGAAATGGTTGTTGGATCTTATCAAAGCCTTTTTCCTGCAGATCTATTGGATGATCAAGTAGTTTTTTGTCTTTGCTTTGTTAATGGGTTTATTATACGTTTACTTGATTTATCGTATGTTTGAAAGCCCCCTGTGCTCACCTATCAGCCTCAAAAACGAACAAGCAGACATATGCAACAGGTGAGAGATTTTTGTTTTTCTCTTAATCAGTAAATCATTTTCTCAGATGTTAGGAAGGTTATATTTACCTTTTTATTCTGTAAGGTTGATAATTTCTTTGTTCCTCACTACATTCAAAGAATTCTTAATTTTATTTACAAAAAATGTAGCTCAACAAAAAATTTCTTTGACTATTGAAGGTGCTTAAAGTAGCCAGAAAAACAAGACTAGTTTAGGTAGTGTTATTTCACTGGCCTGCTTTCTCTAATAGATGTCAAAGAGAGAGCAGACATTGCTCAGTAAGTGTTAGCTTCTGTTTTTATTATCTCTACATTTGTTTTCATCTTTCAGTTTATTCAACAAACATGCATTGAATGCCTGTTCTGGGAATGGAATGGTTGGTGCAGAAAGGTTCCAAAGTATTTCTTTTCTTTTATTGTTGTGCTTGGTGGAGGTACTTTGTGGCATTTACAGAAGTTCTTACACTATGTCAAATATATCATACTTGAATTCACCGGCCCCTGCCCGGACCTGCAGCATTCCAGGCTGGCCCTGGGCACAAAATGCAAGGTCCTATTTAAAAAACAAAACAAAACAAAAAAATCCTTAAAGACAAAAGGGATGAGTTCATCACTCAAGTGGCAGAGCTGTTGCCTAGCAAGTATAAGGCCCCAAGTTGAAACTCCAGTATTGACCCAAAATATATTGTTGTATTTAAATATGTAAATGAGCTTTCCATTTTCTTCTTTTCAGATTTCTTGTCCTTTTGCTCAGCCAACTGGAACTGTTTAAGATAATTTGCTGTTTCCCCACACTTCTCTATTTCCATTATCTGTAAAATGTTGGTTGTTGTGGTGTTGAAAATAATACTGGACTACACTGCAGCATGACCAGCTCTGCTAGATCCACCTTCTGACACAGCTGTTCTGCAGTTATCATCTGTTCTTTCCTAGGCTGCAAGTTCCTTCTCAGTTGTGGCTAAAACCCAACATTTGATGATTCTTTTCCACCCAATTCACCATTGATCTTTGATCCTACAGCAAAGCTAAAACCACATTTTTTCTTTTTGCCAGAAACCTGACAAGATTATATTGAGTGTCATCAGCAGTAACATCAGACTTTATTTCAGTAAATAAAGATGAAACAGCTGCTTTATTGTCCACTTCAGCACTCATGCATTCAATATAGAATCATAATGCTTTCCAGCTTTCTATAGCTAGAGATCTTTTTCTCTTTTCTAAATATGTTATGATTATCACTTCATTAGGTAAAATGTGGAGATTTCTCATCATTTCCTTAAAAAGTTGAACTGTCCATATCAGCATACAAACAATATTTTATAAAGATAACTTTCCATTTTCTAAGTGTCACAATTTTCAAAGGGAATTTGAGTTTGGATTTGCCCTTTTCATATTATCTTTATATTTTATTACAATTTATGTTAACTAGGCATTTCTGGGGTCTCTGGGTTTTCATGTAGATTGTCAAACATGATCTGAAAATATAAAATAGAAAATTCCTGAAATAATGATTCATAAGTTTTGTGAAATGTTTTTGGTCTATGTTATAATTCTTCTATTGTGTTATTATGGCTAATCTTATTCATATTATCTTTATATTTTATTACAATTATGTTAACTGGCATTTTGGGGTCTCTGGGTTTCATGTAGATTGTCACAACATGATCTGAAAATAAAATAGAAAATTCCTGAATAATGATCATAAGTTTTTGTGAAATGTTTTTGGTCTATGTTTTTAATTCTTCTATTGTTATTATGGCTAATCTTATTATGCTTAGCTTATAAATAAAGTTTTTTACAGGTGCATGTGTTGAAAGAAAAATAGTAGAGGATATATGAGGATCGATTCACGAAACCCTTCAAATACCAGATTCTGTGGGTATTCAAGTTCCTTATGTAAGATGGCATAGTATTTTCATATAACCTGTGTATATCCTACCATATACTTGAAATCATCACTATTACTTTTAATATCTATAATCATTTAAATTCTATATAATAGTTGTTTACTGTTTTATTTAGTGGATAATACAAGACAGAACATTTGTACATGTTAATATAGAGCTAGTTTTTCACCTAAGGTATTTTGATCCACAGTTGGTTGAGTCCACAGATGTGGAACCATGGATACAGAAGACAACTGTATATAAGATTAGCACAATGCGCAGTGTCTGCCATCCACTGGAAGTCTTGAAACCTATCCCCTGAATTTAAGGATACTGTATGTGAGAGAAGAGGGAGAGGTGGACACAGGAAGGGAGAGTGATTTAGAATAATAAGGATAAAGCTTCAATACCAACTTGCAAAATACTTTCTTGGGTGATGCCACGTTTAACCTTCACTGCTTCAGAAAGGCAATAATTAATTTGGTTTTATATTTTTTCTCTTTCAGCAGCCAGTGGTAGCTGTTCCTCTTGTTATGCCAGTGAACAGAAGGAAAGAGGATGAGCTATCTGTTGGAAGTGCACCCTTGCTAAAGCAGCAGTCATATCAGGCCTCTGAATATGCCAGCAGCCCTGTAAAACCAAAAACAGTAACAGGTATGTGTCAAGGGTCTGTGGTTTACTACACTTCTAAACTAATAAGTTAACTTGCTAGTTTTGTGGTTGTTGGCAGAAGAAAAGAGACTCCTAGGTGAAGATAAAAGACTTTGTTATGTATAGTATTAATAGTAATCAGACTATTAACATTTTTTCTGTGTGCTAGTGTCCAGAGTTCACATCTAAAGGGCAATGAAAAGGGCCAGATGACACTATACACAGTGAATTATATGACTGTAGAGGCACCTTGAGTTCAGGGAACCTGAATCTCTATAACTATAGAAAGGATGCCTGCCTTTTACTCTAGAGGAAGGCCTTATGCCTCCTTATCAAGGTTGTAAGCAAATTTGCCCATTGCTTGAAGGCAGATAACATCTGTGTCTTCAGAAGCTATTTGATGGACATATATCCAGAAAACACAGTTGGGAACAAAACCGGTCAATGCCTCTACTTGTAGGACAAGCAGAAACACAGTAGACTCATGGAGAATTGTCTCCTCATAGTATTGTTCCTTCCAAAACTGAATTCTTGATGACTACAGTATACTACATCTCAATCTTCTTTTTGTTTTCTTACATTGTCTGCTAGATCATCAATGAAAACGGAAAGTGTAAGCATTCTTCCATGATATGATTAATTTCTATTTGCATAATGAAAATGCACTTGGTGATTTCATTGTAATTTTTTCTCTTTAGCCTCTAATTTTTCTGATGACAGGTCACCTTTCTTCAGATGCTTTTATATCTTTCCTTAAATGTTTTATTATAGTTCAATTATTCCAAACAATATTGATAAAGATTATATACTTCCAATAAATCCATACCATTTCTTGGATATTTTTATGGGCATGATTGTTGTGGAGTGAAATTGAGTTCAGAATCTAAGACATCTTTACCCTCAAGGAATGTAAAATATGGTCTTGTACTAAAGAAAGTTCATACTAATACATATTTCAAGAGGAAGGGTAGGTATTACTTTCTTTTCATATTTATAACAAACTAAAACTTCTGTGGATTTTTATACATAACTAGCATTATTCTCTGTTCTGTTTTTCTAAAATATGACTATGTTTATCATGTGGAATCATTAGACTTCTGCTTGTCAATATCTGTAATCTCTTTACTGTATTGATATTTTATTTTTCAATTAACAAACAGTACATGGGCTTTGTATTGTATCAGAGAAAGATTGTGTATAATTTGTGTTGTTTTGAATATAAGATTAGATATTATTTCCTTTAGCATGGGCTAAAATTTTTACAACTTTGGATTTCTTCACCTGGTAATTTATGTAAAGTTTGTGAATATCACCTCTTATTTAAATAAATATTTTGTTTGTAAAAATATATTTACCTTATGCATTTAAACTGTATTTTCTGATCTCTTGCCTTACCATTAGTCATATGCTTTATTTTATTTTATGTTTTATTTGCAACGTTCACTTTTATTATTATGTAAATACATTTTTAAATATGATGCAAACATTTTTCTTTATTTAACATATCTATTGATGTCACTAATTGACATTTAAAAAAATTTTTTTTATTCATTTATTCACATGTGTATACATTGTTTCGGTCATTTCTCCGCCCTGGTCCCCGCACCCACCCTCTCCCCCTGCAGCCCCCCTCGCTTCCAGACAGAGCTTGTTCTGCCCTTATCTCTAATTTTGTTGAAGAGAAGACATAAGATAATAAGAGAGACAAAGCATTTTTGCTAGTTGAGCTAGATTTGCCAGGTATCTATCAATCTTATTTATTTTTTCAAAGAACCAGCTTTTTGTTTCATTGATTCTTTGCATTTTTTTTTTTGTTGTTGTTGTTCTTATTTCATTGACTTCGGCCCTTATTTTTATTATTTCTCTCCTTCTGCTTGTTTTGGGATTTGCTTGTTCTTGTTTTGCTAGGAATTTGAGATGTAGCATTAGGTCATTGATTTGAGATCTTTCTGTCCTTTTAATATATGCACTCATGGCTATAAACTTTCCTCTCAGGACTGCCTTAGTTGTGTCCCATAGGTTTCAGTAGGTTTTGTTGCATTTTCATTAAATTCCAGGAACATTTTAATTCTTCTTTTATTTCATCAATGATCCATTGATCACTGAGCAATGTGTTGTTCAGCTTCCAATTGTTTGCATGTTTTTGCTATTGATTTCTAGTTTGAATGCATTGTGATCAGATCGAATGTATTGGATTATTTCTCTTTTCTTGTATTTGCTGAGGCTTGCTTTGTGCCCTAAGATATGATTAGTTTTTTAGAAGGTTCCGTGAGCTGCTGAGGAGAATGTATATTGTGCAGAAGTTGGATAAAATATTGTGTAGACATCACCTAGGTCCATCAGCTAGGTGCTTTAGTTCTAGAATTTCTTTATTGATTTTTTGTTTGGATGACCTATCTATTGGTGGTAGGGGGGTATTAAAGTCTCCCAGTACCACTGTTTTGGAGTCTATATATGTTTTTAGGTCCTTCAGAGTATGTTTGATGAAATTGGGTGCATTGACGTTGGGTACATATAGGTTGATAATTGTTATTTCCTTTTGGTGTGTTTCTCCTTTTATTAGTATGTAGTGTCCTTCTTTATCTTGTTTGATCAATGTAAGTTTGAAGTCTACTTTGTCTGTGTTTCCTAGGCATGTTTGGAACTGGTGACTGGTGGTGCTAGAGCCCTCTTGTGAGGGGTGGTGTCCTGGCCAGCTTGCTGGGTTAAAGTCTGGAAGCCTTCCCTGGGCTAGTGGTTCAGGGTGCCGAAGTTTCAGGCCCCTCCCTCCCCCCTACCCCCCTACCCCCAGTTTCTTTACCTCATCCAAGCCTGTCTCCAGTGTCTTAGCAAGGTCCCTGTTTCCCCTAGCTCACGCAGTCTGCATCAGTGTCCCAGTCGCCATTTTGGATCTCTCCTAATTTTTTTTTTAAACCAAGGAATTATTGTAAAATTTTAGTTCAGTCCCTCAGCCCTAATAGTGAAGAATCTTCATCAGAGTTAAAAAGATAAATACTGCTGGGAGACATCTAACCTGGTCATTAGTATGTGTGGCTCCTCCTCTTTAATTCATATCATTTTACTGGTGCACAATCACATTCCTAGATGAGACTCAAAAATGAACCCATTACTGGTGATGTATTTCTTTTCTTCCTTGAAAAGCTTTAAACATATTCCAGACTCATTGATACAAAAGTATAAACAAAAGTTAAAACAAAGTAAAAAATTACCGTGTTTCAAATTTTTGTCAGGCACATAGAAGATTTCTCTTATGCTTCAGAAAGTTCTTTTTTCATTAATTTTTGTGCTGAGTGAGGCTGGATTGTGGCATTTACAAAAGTTCTTACAATATATCAAATATATTATACTTGGATTCAACCCTTCCATCATTCTCCTTTATCCCCACACCCATTTCTGGAGTAATTTCTATAGGCATCATTTTTGCATTTATATACATGTGTATACATTTTTTTGCATCAAATTCACCCTCCTATTTATGCTTAGTTCTGAAGGGAAGTTAAACATGAAAAAAATCTTGTAGTCTTAAAAAGTTGTTTTTTATATTACAGATCATGAAAGATTTCAGATTATTCTTTGCCCTCCTTTTTCTCCTCCTCCTATGAAATCTTTCAAGAATGAACTTAGTTTAATTGAAGTTTTCTCACATCATTTTAAAATATAGTATTTTAAATCTAAGCAAGTATTTAATTATATAGTTAAGATTAGAAGAATATGTCTTTTTTTCTCTCATGCAAAGCCTGAGTGTATACCCTAAAGCTTTTGTGGTCCTCCAAGCTTAGCTAGTTTCTTTTCCACTATGAGTGACCTCCACGGTAGATTTGTTTTATGATTTAGGATGACTTCTTCAACAATTTATCATGACTGCATTTCTGTGAGCAAAAGTAAGTTAAAGGAAAGAGAGGGGCACTCCCTGTCTCTTTAAAAATATTAACCCATGCTCCACTTTTGTTTATATACTATTGGCTGTTAGCTAACACTTGATCATATTTATATGTGTAAGGATCACAGTAATACAGACTGTAGTCTTACTGTGGATAAAGCTTGTGGATTCCAACTGAGAAAGATAGGGAAAAGTAGGTACTAAAGGTCATGTAGAAGTCTCTGTCACAACTTAAAATGGATGTGGTAAAGTGTATTTTGGAATAAAATTAGAAAATAAAACACACAAAAAACTTCCTTTTAGTGGGATCAATATCAGAAGACAAAACTGGTTGTGTTTCTTAGTTTTTTCCAAAGTTATCAACATGTAGATCACAGTTAAAAATCACAGAGTGAATGGCATCTCTTAGTAGGATGAAAAGAGATCCCAAAATTAAAATTTGAGAAACGTTTTCATTAAATAATAAGGAATAGCAGCCAACCAACAGTATGGGAAGTAGGCAGCACAACAACAAATTTATATCAGACAAAGAAAGATTTTCCAGAGGAAGGTAGGTAAGTGTGTGTTAACACTCTTGAATCATCAAAAACAGTGACTGTGAAAATGGAGGGTGCTATTATAATATGGTCTTTTGGCCAGAGGAGCTTTAGTTGCTTAGGAAATGAGTGGCAATTGAGGAAATAGGGATGGCCTGTGTATACCAGTCTTTCAAGAAATATGACTATATTGTATGCAAGTATTTATGTAGGATAATTGTTATTTGTCATGCATTATTTCAGAGAATATGAGATCAGGAAATGCATAATTTTCTCAAGGCAAGCGTTTTATTTTTCATATATAGGGAATATGTTTCTTCTGTAAAAACAACAAGACATTCAGTTTACCTTCTCTTTTTTTCATCACTTCAGCATGTTATTCTAAGTTTGAAATTACTATTTCCTTTCTTTACTTTTCTTTTTCTTTTTCTTTTCTTTTCTTTTTTTTTTTTGGCAGTACTGGGGTTTGAGCTCCACCACTTGAGCCATAGCCTTAAACATTTTGCTTAGGTTATTTTTGAGAAAATATCTCCCATGTTTTTTTCTGGGATGATCTAAGCTGCGGTCCCCCTGCTTATGCTTCCTGA